ACTTGGATTCTGGAAATCACACTTTTTATCATTATTTCAAGTTTTCATCCCAATTACGCTGTGTAAAAAATGCACATTGGCAAAGAGAATACTTAGACACAGAGAACATCTTCAGAGTACAGTAAAATCTAGGGTTGCAAGTAACTTGTTTCGTGAGTATTCCACAAGAGAAATAAATATTTCTAACAAACTTTAGCCTGGTAGTCAAGGAGGGTTGGTGATAAGAGTAGCCGTTGATTCTGAAAGTCTCACGGCCGAGCTACTGTCTCTCCACTGCTCTCTGTTTTGCTACCTGTCCCTCTGGGATTGTGGGTGGTCACCTGCTGACATCCAAGTGTTATGAGGGAAGTCTTGTCTGTAGAGGAGAAAAACAGGAAGAGGTGGGGCCATGGAGGTGGCTCAGTAGTATAAGTGTTTGCCTGGCAAGCGTAAGGGTCTGAGTTCAATCCTCGGTTCCGCCAAAAGCAAAACAAACAAACAAACAAACAAACAAACAAAAACAAAGAGGAAATGCTCTCCTGGAGTGACACTAGGGCAATGTGTGAAATGTGGGGCTGTGCAGAATTTGTAGCAAAGCGATGCCTGAGCAAGCCTGCAGCGGGAGGGGCAAGGCACCCATTGAGCGACAGTGCAGTGCCACTTTTAGCACAGTGCTCAAAAGGAGGCAGAAGCAGGTGACAATGCACAGGTTGCTTGTTCAACTGCACAAGAGAAAAATTCCACTGTTAGTAGGTGGCAGGGATTCTATCGGTGACAGTGAGAATATCCCACACAGTGGCCTTCCTCTCCTGTCTCACAGCAGTCATGAAGGATTTAAAAGTTAAGGCAGGTGGATTTGATCCTTTTTGTTTATATTTTTATATTGTTGTCATTGTTTTGAATTATATTACAGTATTGGAACAGTTTTTAAATGGACACTTTTGAGATATATACAACCATCTGGGATTCCATTATTTCTTAAGCAGAGATTTGCCTTGACATACAAATGCTCCGGATTGCAAGTGTGTTTCTGGGACACATGCCTGCAATCCAAGCCTCTTGGATATGCTGCGGTTCCTGTGGCTTCACAAATAAGTGAGTGGGATTAAGACACATCCTCGCTGATGGATGTAAGTAGTGGAATTAGGAAGCTTGACCCTAGCTCCATTTCAATTAAATTTCTGTTGGGCTTGAGATATGTATAGGCTGAACCCACGACGATCAATGCCCCTCCTTTCTACAACTCCCTGAGGGAGGGGCTCTGAAAGACTCTCCTGGGGGACTCATAAGAGCAGAGCTTCCAACAGGTGCTCAGCAAGCACTGCAGGCCAGAGCAAAGTGGAGCAGGCAGGAAGTTGGTGTCCAGCAGGAGCTTCAGGAGGGAGAGCGTGCTGCTGAGCACGTGGGATAAAGTGGGACCCAGGGGAGGCTGATTCCGCCACTGTGGCATCTGTCCGTGCCAGAGCAAATCTTTGGGACAGGACAGGTCAGGTTGCTCCAGAGGAATGAAAGAGTATAGCAGGGGACAAGGTGGAATTGGCCTCAGGCAGGAAGCCACTCATGAGGTTTAATTTTTTATATAAGTAAAGGTTTATGGGTCACAGTTGCACAAGTTCAACAGAATGATTGCAGAGCCTCTGGAAGGGCTGTGTTGGGGTCTCCCAAGGATCCCTACAGCAGAGTGCCGATCTCTCCAGAAACTGAATCTTGGTAAGGTGGGAGCGGGATCATCCTCCCCGCCCTGTGGCTGCCTTCCCCAGGGCCCCTGGCAGGAGCTGAGCTCTGTATGCAGAGGACATCTACAGGGTGGGCCCCAGGGTGCCTGCTGGAGATGGGGCCTCCTAAGCCAGGCAGGCGCTGAGCTCTGTATGCAGAGGACACCTGCAGGGTGGGCCCCAGGGC